GTAGGTAAACTTCAACCCTGCAGCTGTGATGAAACAAACTCCCATCATGCATCTGTCTGAGAGTCGTGGCTGTGAGAATCTGGCACTGCCTCATGGGATTTGTAGTTCCACCACATCTGCAGAGCCAGGCTTGCTCACCCCGGGTCTTGTCTGTTCTGAGCGTGGATCTGCCAGTGCTAACAGTCGCCACTCTTCCTCTATGCATGATGCAACTCCTGCACATGCGCGCTGGAGCTACAGAGCGTCCCAGCTACATCTGCACCATCCTGCAGATGCCCGGAATGAGTGTACACTGTTCTGCAAATGTGCAGCATTTTTTTTATTTTTGGTAGGAGAGGCAGAGACCCTCCTCACTATGATTTACAGAGTTCAATTCCACTTTAAAGGCGTCCCCTCTGCCGAACCCGCCGTGCCAGAGTCTTTCGGGCTGCCCAGTTTGGGTCGTTTTGCAGCTCCTGATTGAGCAAAGCGCACGCCGGAGAAATCTTCACTGCAAGCTAATTTATGACCGCAAGGCTTCCTGTTTAAGAAGCTCTTCTATTTAAAAGGAAATCTGCAGCTTCATCGAAACTTAATTTTTTTTATGAGACAGTTTCTGCACCGAGTCCCATTACAGCCAAAGAGATTAGAGCCAAGAAATAAAAATCCAAATTACAGACATTCGCAGCAATGCCCCATGCAATCATTCATTTTCCCCACCATCCCTGTGCTGAGTTCCTGGGTCTGTACACCCGCTGTGCCCATTATGAGGGGCTCCCCCCATCCCTGTGCTGAGTTCCCGGGTCTGTACACCCGCTGTGCCCATTATGAGGGGCCCCCACCATCCCTGTGCTGAGTTCCCGGGTCTGTACACCCGCTGTGCCCATTATGAGGGGCTCCCTCCATCCCTGTGCTGAGTTCCCCAAACAACAACTCATATACAAGAAAACAATAATAAATAAATAAAACATATTTACAAAATTGAATATTACTATACAAAACAAAGATATAATACATGGTGCAAACCAAATTGCGCACACATAATCCCTACGAGAGAGCCAGACTAAGGAACATCACCGTCACCATGCATGTAGCCTCTTATCAAAAACACATTTGATCTGAAAATCTAGGGGAGTGAAGAAAGGACAGAGAGAAAAGCCGCACACCCCGAGATCAACAGGCAGCAGCTACAGAGTCCTGATATTCCTCCACGCCTTTATCCAGGCCCCCTGCTGCCACCTGTCTTTCTCAAGACCCCGAATCTTCCCGACCTCACCCAGAATGTCCTGCACCACCACCTGGACAGGGAGGATTTTACTCCGCAAGGATACCTGACACCGTGCACTCCACGTGAAATAACGGACTACGAGACTAACTAGAAAAAGTGTTTTCAAATCATAATCCCGGCGAGTCTGGAATGCCCCGTACACCCACTCTGCATAACTCATCTGGGGGAGGAAGGGTATACTCAGAGCCCTCCCCACCCTCTTGTACACCTCTATATTAAAAGGTAGACATGTGCAATACGGTTCGTTCCGAAATTCGTTTCGAACGAATTTTCGGAAATTCGGAGATTTGAATGCTTCCGAATTACAGCTAAGACGAATGCAAACGAATCCGAAATTCCCGATTTCCCGAAATTCGTTATTGTACGAATTTTGTTGCAGAAAAATGACATTAGGAAGACACACATCTATGCTTAAAGTACAGAGGCTATAAAGTAGTGGTTAGAGGTACAGGCTTGCTAAGGTTCCAGGTTCAATTCCAGGGCAAGTCAAGTTTAAAGTTTTTTTTTTTT